ATTTGCTTAGCTTAAACTATTAATGTGATACAGTTTATTTTTCTTGCGCAGATGTGAATCCGATGTCAGTATTTTAGTGCTTTGCATTTGAGCTGCAGCTGTTTCCTAAAGATCTACAGCGTTACAGAAAAACGACATCGTTAATCGCATTAGAATGATATATTACACTCATTTCCATTCGCTGCGTTTCCCTCGGTACCAAAAAGGTCACCGAATTAGAAACCTCCTCCTTGTTCCTCTCTGGGAAATTAACATTTAAATGTAAAACGGAAACCTTGTTATGTGATGTAAAAAAAAACAACAACAAAAAAACGGTTACTTTTCTGCACCGCTGCACTTTTTGCACCGACTTGTAAGAATAAGTGATGCTGAAGTTGTTTTCCTCTCGCTACCTGATTGCAAGGATCTAATTTGTTCTGCTGCCTCCACCTTCGGGCCTTTGGGCTCCATTAACTGCTGAGCTCTGAGAGTCATTAGAGAAGAAAATTAAAATACTCACCAATGCGTTTTTCACAATTAAGCCGGTTGGTTGCCTTGTTATGGGACATAATAACCCTTTGATGTTTGTCTGCTGACAAATGTCTTGACGAAAACCTGCGGTCTTGGGTCTTCTGCTCTGCATCACAAAGCTGCTTCATTATGTCGGCGTTGATGAAACCAAATTCAAAGCAGCTTCAGAGAAAGATAAAGAAAACTTTGTGCCTTTCTGTAGTTTCAGTCATACACTTTAAAACTCAGAAATCAAAGTTTATGAAGTTGATTTAACAACAAGAGAGAAGTTGTCTAAACTGTTGGGTAGCAGTAAATTAAGACACGCCTTAATTTAAGTTCATTAACCTTGATTTGTGAGTTTTAAATCATCTGAAAATTCAAACCATTTTTCAGTTAAAATAACTTATTTTACTGTAGAATAATTAAAATTCTTGTTTCAAATTCCATGAAGAAAATTTCGGGTCTTATAATGAATTTTATTTAACACATTTAGTGTGAACAAAACGTTAAAATAAATATTTTCTTTAAGAACACACCAGAGTCAGATCAGCGTAACGCGCTTCCACAAAAACACGTCGCTAAGCATTCTGGGAAATAGTTCCCACTCCTGTCTTTATCTTCTTTCAGTTTTTTTTATGTAAAAACCTAAAAACTCCAGATCATTAAACAACTGGACACAAACTCCAACATTCAGGTTGAAAATCTAAAACCTGCTAATTTTATTTGCCTTACAGAGCAGAAGAGAGTAGATGTGGCTGAAATGTTTTACAGTGTGTGTCTCTGAAACTCACCTCAGCTGTGTTTTAGTTACGGTTAATGAACACAGACGCATCCCGAACTTTGATAAGGATTAAAGAAAACGTAAATAAATACTTGTGAGGCGCTGACAGATGCAGTGAGGCTGAAACTGATCCTGAAATTTCTGCTGCAGTTCTGAGGAATCTGGGAATTTTCCCTGAGGGGAAAAAATACGGTTTTTAATAGCTCTTCTATTCACTCTTTTATTTTTTTATCTTCTCTTTTTTTACCTGCCTTCCTGCTTTTTTCTTCCCCTTCCGCTCTCATCGGGTCATCCCTCCCATTCACATGTTAATACGTTCACATGTAGCCATGTATCCTGTTATCACTCATCATTTCCTGTTTTCCTTGCACTGAAATGCAGAACATAAATGCAGAGATTATCAAGGATGCGCCTCCTGATCTTTTGCTTTCCATGGTGACGTTGAAAATGGATCATTTTTGTTTACTTTGCAATTTACTTATTAGGGTTATTATGTCTGATTATGTCAGGTTTCATGTAATCTATCTGAGATAATCTGAGATTATGGGAATGAGCTTCAACAAACGCCTTTAATCTGCACAGAAAAAGCTTCATTTTTAAAAGAATACCAGAAAATAATATGTTCTATATGTCCATCAATACTGGCTTAATTATTAAAAACCAAATCTTGTGTGGAAAACAAACTAAATCTTTCATACAAACAGCAGGTTGTTTGTTTTTTTGCTTCTTTGTTTGTTCATTGTTCATCATTGTTGAAGGATGAGCTGCAAAAATAAACATTGAATGAAGTAATTTCTAAAAAGAAACAGCTTTTAGAATCTTTCAGCCTTTATCCTCTTTTACTCTGCTTGGGAATGAATTAGTTTTAAACCTGAATAAAAATGCTAGACATGTTTTAAGACTCTTGTCGTCTCATTTAGTTTGATTTAATGTAAAAACATTTAACAAGATCTTAGATCAACGATTTAATATAAGCCGGTTTTGTCAATTTTTTTGACATATTTAGATAGAAATCAGGATCGGTACCATTAATATTTACCTAAATCTAATAAGAAAAAGCCAAATTCCTTCTGGAGAAAAGTGTTTTAGTCCAAAGATATAAATAATATTTTGTCTAAATGATAAGAAAATGTTTGAAGGAGTTAAAATGAGAGTTTCAAAAATGAAAAAACTGTAGGTCATCCTCCTTATTCTTTGTGAATTGCATGAAGAATAGAAGAATCATTCAGTTGCTCAATTTAATTTAAATGCTGGGACGGATTTGAATAAACTCTACAAATTCTGCCAAAAAACTGGTTGAAAACTCCAAACAAGTTCATTTGTTGCTATAAAAAGCTAGAAAACATTTATTCAGACATTACTGGGCTTCGTAGTTAGAATATAATAATAATTTTCACCCATTAAAATCATACCTTTTGGCATTTTATCTCATTTTCTCCAGATTTAGCACATTTACAGTGCATGAAAGAACAATGAGTTCTGTTTATTCATATTTAGGCTTAATTTGCATTGGCATCAATCAATGGTTTCTCCTATTGACAACATGATCAAGTCTGACAGTTTTTGTCCTTGGCAGATTTTCCTTTCACTGGGGAAACAATAATTATCATAAAGTGATGAAATGATGACTTCCAGCTACTGTACAGGCAATATTTTGCGTTTTTGACCCACTGATGCCTGATGTTATTTCTCCAACTTGTCTAATTTCCCCCTGAGATTTAGGCTTGTTATGCGAGACGTTGGCTCAGAGCTATTTTGGAACAAACTTGCTCAAATGGATAACAATATTAATCTCTGCGACCCTAAATGTCGGAGGCAGCTGTCAGGCGAAGCTGGACTCAGAACATTAACACTTTGTCTGATTTGGAAACAAGACCTTCGCTGAGAAACACGATCTTTGTGTACCGAGAATCTGAGAGTTAATTAAAGGCTTTCGGCGCTGGGTGAAGTTTCTGTCTGATCCCAGACCAGCAGGACCCGATCCTTAACATTGCAGCATCTTTTGGCATCGCCTCAGATGCAGCCACTAAGTTTCTGCTCACTAGTTCCCACAATCCCTCTCCCCTTGTTGCCATAGCCAGATGGTGTTTGTGTAGTGCAGGGCGTGGACTGTGTGGTTACTGAGTTGGTGGCTGATTGTATTAGCGAGCAAAGCCGGCTTGGAACATGAAATAATGTGACTCATAAACTTGCTTCTCACTCACTCCATCTTTCTTTCTTTTGATCCACCCACCCTGACACCCAAAGAGGCGAAATGATGGGATGCAGAATGAGACATCGGCTTGCAAGATGATCAAAAATTACAAGAAATGAAGAAATTTACACTCAGGCGGCTCCACCCAGCTATTCTCCACACATTAAATCCAACACAGATATCCACTAGAATATGTATTTATGTAAAATCGTCACATTGAATGGATAATGTTAAGTTAAATAATTTTGTTTTTTACCCATAAAAGATGTAAATATTAATTGTAACTTTAATTTTACTTTGCTAATGAAACAATCTTCACCAATTATCCTTTTATCCAGGTAACATATTCTTTCTGAATTTATTTTAGATGAATACATAAATGTAATTTTAGTGAATTTATTCAGTGATGCAAAAACATAATTTGTTATAATAACATTTTATTTATAATCCACTTTACATGTCAATCTCAAAGTGCTACAGAATAAAATAAAAAAAAAATTAACCAATGTAAAAACCATAGGAACTGATTTAAAAATAATAATCATAAAATCTTTTATTTATCAACTAAAAAGCATTGCCAAAAATAATTGGGCTGGAATCTATTTGTAATAGGTTTTACTTTGAAATAAAATGTAATTACAGTATTTATGAACTTTCAATTATTAATCAATTTCTTTGTAAACGCAAACCAGACGCGCCTGACGCTCAAAACGTGTTTGGCGTGAACGTATATTTGCAAATAGTCAAAATGGACAAAAATACCTGGTGAGATTTTGTGCTTTTGCAGTGAATTTTACCATCTGGGAGGTAAAAATAAAACCTCTGAAGAACTGGTGTTCTGTAATATAAGTTGATTGAGTTTAAGTCCTGAACTGAACTGTGTGGCATGGTTTGGATTGTGCATTTGGATAAACATCAGCAACACCCAGTAAAGCTGTCACAGTTCTGCACATGACAGATGAACTATATTCTCACAAAACATAATATTTTTATGGTTTCTCCTCCTGTATAATTTAATCTGTGACTCATTTTACAGCTAACAGAGTTTAGCAACGCTCAGGTTTCGAAAACACATCCATCCTCACAATTCGACTTCTGAGAAAAAGATTAGTCTGCCCTGAATGTGAGTGTGACTCATCGGTTCAGTAGCAGCGGTTTTAATGTTTCTACATGAACTTTCTAGAGAAAAACGTCTGTTTTCTCCCAGCTGCGTTCCTTTTCACAAGTCTCCGTCATGTGAATTGTTCCATTTTAGGAAAACAACGTTGCCTTCAAATTAAAGCTTATGCTAGTTTCAGATCAAAGGCCAGGAGGAGAAAATCAGCGGTTACAGTAACGGTTGGTGCAAGTTTCCAGAAACGGTGTTTGATGTGATGGAACAAGTTGTATATTTTGTGCATAAAGTGAATCGTCATGTGCTTCATGAGTGCGTTAGAACCGGGGCAGTGAAGCAACACATGCACAGCTAGACTGTAGCAGGACGACGTGCATGTTTATCTCAAACTGTGTGTGTGTGTGTGTGTGTGTGTGTAGTTATGCAGGTCACGTTGTTGGCAGCACTTTGAAAGCCCAGAAGGAGAATCCAGAGATGTCTATACGCCACACAGATCCTGCCCTCAAGGACGTGAAACAAAGGCTGGAGCTGCTAACGCAGGTAAAACGACACTGACATCAGATTTAACTCGCATATTAAAGCAGAGTTTTGCATTCCCAGCTTTCCACTTCATGATGTAATTATAATATTTGCCGCACAGATGAATCATAGCGTCATGTGAACCCATAAATCGACACACTAATGACTGATTATTTATGCCAGCATTTGAAGGACGAACAGAAAGGAAGAGGAAAACTGACACACACAAAAACACTGGAAAATACAAAAACTGCTTTCTAGTCCAAATATCTTATAGCTTTGGAGTCACAATCAATATTGTGATTGATCATTTGTGGCAGAATCTGAAAGAATAGGATGTAAAAAGCTCAAGAATGAAAAAGTTTCCTGGTTCTTTATACACACAAAATCTTACAAAGTTTTTCTGTCTAGTTTTTTGTGCAAATATCTTTTTACATTGGACATCAGACAAAACTAACTTACAAGTAAGTTTTTAGCAAAATGTAGGAGCTTCTTTTAAGAAAATAATTTATTAATATTGTTTCAGAGAAGGTACTAGTTCATAAATTTTCTTATAAATAAGTTATTTTATTTATAAGAAAATATTTTCCCCGTGTTATGAGTGAAATTATCTGCCAGTACTTTTTTTTTATTATAAAGTATTATTTACTTTAAAAAAAGTTTCCTATATTTTGCTAAAACATTACTTATAAATTAGTTTTGTTTTATTTCCAATGTCTTAAAATATTTGCACTAGAAACTAGACAGAAATATTTAATAAGGTTTTGTGTTTTTGCAGTGTATGAATAAAGAACCTGACATTTTCTTTTTTTTTTTTTTCACGTCCTATTTTTTCAGATTTTGGCATAAATAAGAACTGATTAGTGTGACTCATTGTGACTCCAATGTAATGAGATATTTGGAATAAAAACTACACAAAACAGACGTTTGGTTTTTACAGTGTATTTACGTGTAGATTTTCTTTTTAACCGCTGAACTTAAAATAGTTATCCTAAAAAAGAATAAAATATGTTCACCATTAAGTGGAAGAAGTGAGGAAATCATTTTTTTCTGAGTTAGAAACAGGAAAATGTGCAGAAATGTGAAACCAGATAGTGAAGAGTCAGTAAGGGAAGGAAAAGTGGTGAAACGGCAGAGAAGTGCAGTTAAAACTCAGGAGGAACTGAACCATGAAGTGGTGAAAAAACTCTAATGAATGAGGTTTTCTTTTACAGATGAGTGTTTGGGTGTGTGTGTTGCTTCTCTGTTGGGACCAGAATTACTGTTAATTTAACTCTTTGGGTTACTTCAGGAAGTAATTCTCTATTTTTCTTCAATAGCTTCCTTAAACATTAGAATAGTCTGCTTTGAGTCCTTCTTTTATTTCATGACTTATTCTCTTTTTTATGGACTTCTTGTTTATTGTCTCCAAATAAAGATTTTCTTTCATGTTGAAATAACTGGAAGAGTTAAAATCTGAGATGGACCAAATCGACTCGTCACTGCGTTGATTTAACTCTCCAGAATTATGCTCACTGAATTTGACCAAGTATTTTTACTAGTGTAAATATCTTAGCATTCTTTGAATAAGAAAAAAAAATTACTGAACAGTAAGTTTTCAGCAAGACAAATAAGCTTGTATTTTTAGTCGGTAATTCTCAAATATACATCAGTTCACTGGCAATTTTTTTCATTTATAACAAGACATTTTTAACGGTGTTCAGTGAAAATATCAGCCACAGGAAATAATACTTTTTAAAAATCTATGTTATGACATTTTAACGGCGGATTTGACGTTTGCAACAGCTGAAAAAAAGTGCAGCAGGGGGACACTGATGTGTTAAATTGAGATAGAAATAATAGAAAGCTAACGGAAAGATAAAATCAAATCAAAATAAATAATAAAATAAAATAAACAGTGGGGACACAGCCCATTCAAATTTATCTGCCATGCACTTTTTCATCTATATTAGGGAATTATTTACATAAAACAAGCCTCTATATCTTGCTGAAAAGTTACTTTTAAGTTAGTTTGTCTCACTTCAAGTGCACGAAAATATTTGCACTAGACCATGTGTGGTTAGATTTTGTGTTTTTGCAGTGCTGCCAGTGGAGGCAGGGTGATGCGTTAGGCAATATTCTGCTGGGATCAATATGAAAGTTACTTTGACACAAATCACCAACCGAAGCACCGTTGCAGGCCGTGCTCATCGGCTCATGGAGGCTTTCAACCGCTCTCAGCGCTACAATCTATCCACAAAGCAAATATGGTTCAGGGAAACTTTAAAGGGCACATCGATAAATTTGAGATGTTGTCAAATTTCCCAGATCTCAGTCCAGTTGAGTGTTTGTGATGTGCTGAACAAACAAGTCTGATCAATAGAGGCTCCGCCTCACAACCTGCAGGAGTTGAAGGAGATGCTGCCAGCGTCTCGGTGCCGAAGCAAACCTTCAGGCCTGGAGTCGGATCTGAGCCCCGACATGTCGGCGGCGTCTTGTAACGCTCGGCAGGTCATCATAATGTGACGCCTGATCGGCATGTGGCGAGCTGTCAATCGATGCTTTAGGGGAAATGAATTTCAACCGGCAGAAAACCCCTGAATATCTATCTTCCGCTTTACTTCCTGTTCTGGGGAGTCTTTCTCTTTTTCACATTTTTTGGCAGCTGCATTTGAGGCACAGCAGATCTGCAAACACAGCAGATGCATCGCCTGAAGTGTCTCCAGATCTGCAGAGTCACAAACATAAGCTGCAGTTTTAGATGTTTTAGATATTTTATGCCTAAAAAAACACTTTCAGCCAGAGACTCATTTTGCCAAAGAGCTCCACAGGACGTCATTTCTGCCTGCTGCCATCAGGCTTTAAAAAGCCCAAGTCTGTTTTTAATTACACATTTTTCTGCGCTCATTTATAGGTTATTTATTGATTAATATATAGCATGTGATTGTTATTTATTTGTTCATATCTAGTCATTTTGAACTATTCACCTTTAAGTACATATATATTTTGCAAACTTTGTATTGAAGATGGAGTATTTGTCATCAAATAAGCACTTTCCCCTTGGGGATCAATAAAGTATATCTGATTTTATTCAGATAAAATAAAATCAGCAGATGCATCAAAGAGATTTCAAATGTGGCATTGGTGGCCTTGCTTTTTAAATTTGGTCAACCGCCACAAACAAATTGTAAATTCAAGATGCATTTTGGGTACTGTGCATCTTTCTATTTAAATTAATAAGTGCATTCTTTATTTGAAGTTATTTTATATACAAATATGTTAATTTTATGACAGAAAATACTTTTATACATATATATATTCTAAATTTATTGTAATATAATGGAATCTTTTTTTGGGAAAAACTGAATGCATTGATGTTCTTTAGCAACATGTCGAATTATCGGCATATCGGTGTGTGCAGCACTGCTGATAAATCGATAAATCAATATTGTTGTAATCCTTAGCAATGTTATTGCATTTCATGTTTTTCTGATATATTGCATCTGTGGTGGCAAAAGGTCCAGAATTTCAATTTAATGTTGGCTTACTAGCTAAAATAAACAAATTGAATGACAAAATGTTTGGTTTCATAATATTAGAAAACAAAAGAGAACAAAAACTTTACCAAGGAACAGAAAATGACAATAAAAATGATTTTAAGTTTGGCTTTAAAATTAAAATTAAAGTACATGTTGCCTCTTAGGGAAATATGACAGCAATTAATAACTCCTCACTTTGATTCGCAATATTTATTCATGTCTTGTTGTATTTGGATGCATTTTAAAGTATAAGAAAATATAAGGCAAAGTCACCTTGGATGTTAAGTTTGCCGGGATATATTTGCTGCTATCAGTCATTATAAAGATAACTGTGAGATAAGTAATCTCATCTTTAGTTCCAGGTCGGCTCCGATTCACTTTGTGACTCCTGAATGTCATGCAGATCTTCAACTTAACACATTGAGCTCAATTTCAGAGCAGGAGAATTGATCTGTAAGTTATGAAAGTAATCAGTGTTATTAATATTAGGATTATTTTCACGTTGATCATTTTTAGGACCGCAATTGAAAATGATGGGACGGGGTAGGCCGAGTCTCTTTCCTCTGCTTTTGAAGCTCTTCCTGTTTTCCCTCTCATCTTGTTGCTGGCTCCATTAATCATGCTGCATTTAACACTTGCAACTGCTGAGTCAGCACTCAGGGTGCATGTGTGGTTTGCAGCGGTTTTGCCATAAACACAAAAATGCACGCTGCACACGCACCACATAATCATTTATGTATGAGATTTCCAGGGCTCATTAATTCAATGCAAGTGTTCCTTTTTGTTTTGGAGAATATTTAATCTTATGGACATATTCTTTTGTGAAGCATTATTTCTTTTTTAGTAAAAACAAGAAAATTTCGGGTGTGTTTGTTGTCACAACATGGGTCTGAAAAATCTACTTTACACCTTAAAAAGGTGTTTTCTTAGGGGACATGGAGGATTATTTCTTTCTTTTGTGTTATCTTGCAATTGCTTGGTTTCACCCGACCCGGATGGCGCGCAAAATTCAGATGGGGGTCAGGAAGTGAATTTTTCTGGCTCAAACCGGAGCAAAATGGATCACAGCGAGTTTGGAACTGCCCTAGATAGGCCGGTAGAAACGCGGTATCTGGAAAAAATATGCATATGTTCAGGATACGATCCATATTCTCTCAGTAGAAAAAGATTTACCTGGCGACATAAATAACTATCTGGAGCTCCTCATATTATTCAATATATATATTATGCAATATATGGAAGAAAGCTATCGCTAACAACAAGCTAACCCTCGTTATTTCTATGTGCTTGGATCTCCTGGTGCAACATTATTTAGCTTCTGCAAACACCAAATCTTGCTGGAGTTGTGTGTTAATGTTGAGTCTTACTGCTTTTCTACAATGTAGGTCAAACATTCTCAGCGATCTGCAGAAATCAAATTAAAAACATGGTTCACTTGAATGCTTGTCTTTCCATGTAACTATCCAATAGAATATCTGAAAATGCAATTTAAACGATGCGATTGCAAACTTTGTTAGTTTCCTCACCTTTTCCTGCATTTTTTCAGTGAGTTTTTTTTAAATTAACCAATAAAGTCAGTTTTGATTGTGTCTTTTTTGTGTTGGTGGTCTGAATAATCATAAATCTCCTCCTTACACAAACAGACATGGAGTTAAAGTCAGTTTTTTGCATCAAACAGAGAAAAATTCTAAATTTAAAACTGTCTGCAAAATAGACCAGAGTGTGTCGGCGAACTGCGAGGGAACACAAAAGTTTTGCAAAGTAACGCAAAAGAAAAATGTTTCCCCATGTCCCTTAGGGGCCTCCGTATTATCTGCTCCACTTTTTGTAAACAGGGAATTAAATGTGTACTTTTAATGAGCTTTCATTGTCATTTAGAAGCTTAGTTTTGCATTATCTGATGCTCACTGCCACAGCGGCATATTTTTAAAGGTTGCTATTCGTCTGAAGTACAAGTTAATGCATGCCATTCATTAATTATCATTCCTGTCTGTCATTTGCCGTTTATATACTCCCACAACAAGGACGAGAGATGGCTGGAAATATGAAACAGGAGAAAGAAGCATCTTTGGAATTTTAATCATTTCAGGAACCATGTTTCGATGATTTTTTTCTTTTCTTCCTGTTTCTGGTTTGTATCTTGTGTAATACAGTTTGATAAAAGCTGCTTTATCTACTGGGATTTTATTAGTGCATTCAGTCGTTTACAGCACCAATCAGGATTTGTACCTAAATGCTCAGCCAATGAAGATAAGCCTAATGAATCCCGAGTTAGGATGGGCGAGGGTGACTCATTTAAATATTTTCATTTCACTGTTGTTCCCTTCTGACCTCAAAACCACATTACAGTAAAGCAATTTATTCTTTTATTCAGGAAATAGATGATTTAGAAGGCAAGTAAACACAAATAGTGTTAAAATAGAGATTTAGTTCCGGTAATCACTCACCATATTATTAAAATATATTACTAACCAAACCTTGAGTTTGTAAATGTTTCTGAAACACAAAATAAATTTAAAACGTTTGAATCGCTTGAAAATATCACACTGAGTATCGATAATCGAAATGATTTGTTTCTCTTCCTGAGTTAAATTAAATTGTCAGTAATGTTCCAATTTATTGAAATATTGTCTGTGATGCAACGCTCTATTTATGCCAAAAACAAGAAAATAACAAAAAAATGTTAAGATTTTTCTGCCTGTGTTAATAAAGATCATAAAGTTATAGTGTAATAAATAACTAAATTCTTAGATTAAATTATTTTTTAGGGTTTAGAGAAATTTTGAACTGCAAAATAGATAAATAATTTATTGTTTACATTTTTGTCATCCTTCTTAGTTTTTTGTTTCCTTAAAGCAAAACTGCCTAAATTCTGCCTAATTCTGTTGTATGTAGTGTGAAGTACATAATTCAGAGACTGAGGTCCAGACAAAAGTCAGGGAGCAAAAACAATCTTTCATGCATCTGCAGACGGAGAGCAAAAATCCTCTGCATTAGGCGAAAATCAAAATCTGATCTGACGAACTCAGAGTTGCATAGTTGCTTTATTCTCCTCTCAATCTTCCAAGACCAAACAAACGAAACAAAGAAAAACAGACGGAACAGTTCAACCTTGTGTGCTCATTCGCTATCATGTCTACGGGATGCAAAAACTAAACACTCTGTCTCCATGCAGGGAAGGCCACGGGAAAAACAGAGAGTTCCCAGACTCATCTTGTTCGATTAGTTTGTACAACCTCTCTGCAGCTGCACGAAAAAAACATCTCGACTATGCTACTGTATGATGCTAATAAAAGATTTTCTCTTTAAAGACAAATCTACTTCACAGTAGTCAGAGTTTAAATCATCTAAATTCAGCAAAATGTGATCAAATTCTCTTTTTAGAGATTCTGAGATATTTAAAAAACACAGAGTCCCAGTCTGATGTTTAGTTTAAATGACAGTCATGTTTGTGACTTTAGTGGGTCTGATGGGCAATAAAATACCACTTTAAAGGACATTAGCACAAAACATTAAGCATTGAGGTGTTTTTTTTTTCTTTTTGGAGAATCTCCAGTAAACTTGCTCTCAACACCCAGCTGGAGTTTCAGTCTGTCATTTTGCTCCTCAGCTTACAAACTTTTCAACGCCGAGCCGTTTTATGAAGTGCTAAGCTGGCAGACGCTCTGCAGATTTGTAATGAGATTTATTTAATTTCTACTTTGAAAGGAGCTGCTGGTGGAGCTCGGCTGGGCAAGCAGGAAAAGAGGAAGAGGGGAGGCAGGGGACGGAGGGAGCGCCCCGACAGATGGGAGCGGTGGAGACGATTGTGATGACGAGGACGGCTGTGGAGCATCTGGTGAAGAGAGCGGTGAGTCACATGTGCAGACAAACATACAGACACGCATGTGGGAAGAGAGGAACAAACAATGGCAAACACACACCCACACAGGAACGTGGTGCAAATACATTTCCTGTTCATGCACCACACAGTCTATTCACATATACTTACATAATTATCTCATCAATACACAGACATATGGTTCACTGGCCTGTAGGTTTGAATGTGCTGCAGCTTTTACATATTTTGTGCCAGCAGGGAAAATGCTCAGAGGGTTAGATTCGCTCCCGCTCCTCCACTTCCTCCATCTCGCTTTCTGCAGTTTGTTTCTGTATGAGTTTGGATAAATGATGAACGAACCAGGTCGCCCCAGCGACACAAATGTAAAAATAAACAGTGATTATTCATTTTCTTTTGGTTTATTCATGGTGTGTGAGCGTATACATAAAACATGGATGTCATAGGGAGATCTGGAGATCCAGGGATCCCCTCTGAGCTTTGATGCGATTCCACAAAGGGAGCGCAGCTAAAATCCTGGAATAATTTAAATTGTTGATGAGAAAATTATGCTCTGTATCAATGCTCAAATGTAATTTTTCACTTCTTGAACCCATATTCACATTAAAAATGAAACTGAGAGCAGAGCAGATTCAGACTTTGTATTGGACTAATCAATTAAATTAACTTATTATTGATTAATTCAGCTTTTTGAAGGTATGAGTTAAAGAAACGTGGCTGTTTAGTTCTGTTTAGTGGCTGTTTAGCAGTAAGTGATGCCAGATGATCCTCAGGGTTCCCGGCTCTTTCCCTGCTCCCTCCTGGACCCGAATGAATTATTCCAGATTCTGGACCGTCCTGCATCCCGTGGGTGATGAAGAGGAGGTTACATTTAGAGAAGTCAGGGATAGAGACTGAACTGGGTCCAAAATAAGTGAAATGTCTGAACAAATATAGTAACTCATCTGACCCGAACTCTTCCATTAAAAAGCTAAATCCTGCAGAATTTTCACGTTCTCCAGAAACTGTAACCATTTCTCCAGAGTGATCAATATTTTAGAATAATGTTGTCCAAGAATGATATGCTGTGGTTTTTATAGGGATGCCACAGCAGAAATTGATTATGTGGGAGTTTTTTTATGTCTATCATTTACTTTTTTCATGCTGGCAAATATTTTGGTAGTCAAGAAACCGAGTGGAAACTCTGCAGATGAGATGGATAAAGTCAGTGAAGAGGAATGCTGTCCTTTCTGTTATAAATAAAACTCAAATTAAGTCAGTATAATGAAAATAGAACTAACATAAGTTCAAAACCAAAGCCCTAAAAAGGCATGAGATTACCAGAATGTTGCTCATTAAAAATTGCTGCAGTTTTAATAACCCTTCAGGGAAATCAACAAGTAACATTTTCAGAAAAGCAAATTCAAAGTTTGTGCGCTTTGATCCAGCAAAGCCAGCAGAGACAAAATGCATCGCTGTGGAGTTCAGAGGGGCCACATGAAAAGCGGGCCAGATTTGGCCCTCGGGCCTCGAGTTTGACACCTATGCCCAAATTGTTTGCAAAAAGAGCATAACTTCCACTTCCAGGGCGATAAAGTGAAAGTTTCGTCATGTTACTCAAACTTCTGCAATCACTAAATGCAGTTGAATTTCTATTAATTTTCTGAATTATCTGGACAGAGGTGAAGTCAGTGGTTTGTTACTGGAGTGTTTGGACAAAACCTTTCATGTTGCTTCTTTATCCTAACAGCATTGCTTGTTTATGTTTTCTGCGTTTTCGGAAGAGGCGGCACAACTGAACAGAACCGAAGTTTGATGGTCTGAGAACAAATGGTGTTTCTGCTGCACCACCTAATTACCTGTGACAACCCGGCGGTGTCCTTTCTGCTCCCTAAGGCAGCGTGTAACCGGGTCAAAGGTCAGCGGTGCATTCATCTTTCCTGCGATGTCCTTGTTGCCAGTGAATATCTTGTTGTGGAGTGGAGTAAACCTCGAGTGAAGCTCATTCCAGTGGTTTGCAGTGGCTGGGATGCGACTCAAGCAAAGCAAGAGGACGTTTCTTTAGTGAGCCGGGGGAAAAATGCTGAATGTGTTTTCAGATTTTATTTTCAACATGACTATCTGTGCTGCCTTATTTATGTCTTAGTAACATGTTTGAACTATGTGAGTTCATAAGTTTGTGGTTTAGAGTATTTCTGTGCCCATAAGGAGTTGATGTGAATGTATTAAATTATTTTACTGCTTGGATAGAAAAGTACAGCCTCTAAAATAGAGAACAGCCTATTCTACTCTATTTTACTAAATAGAGCAAAATATTAGTTGGCTTTTTAAATTTTTTTTGTGCTATTCTTAGTGAATGTTGCATTTAATTTATTTAAAAAGTTGTGTTTTAGAGTTGAAACCAGATTCATTCCAGGCTTCATTGTTTCGTTGTATTGTTATAATCACACAGTTCATGTTGCACATTGTGAAAATATGCTTTGCATCAGAATAATTCTCTTTTACTATAAATTCTGTTTAAAGCAGCTGTAAATGAACTCATCTGGGTTTAAATGCTTGTTTTGCGACTGTGCATCGTTTAGCGGCTCTTACATTGAGGCATTTGTTGCTACATTTGTCAGACTCTCCACTGACCTTGTTGTGTCACGTCGGTGGAAACTCATTCCTCTTGCAGAGATGGATCTGGTTCATTGGTTATTTGCAGGGGGAAATGATTTACCGAGCTTGTGTCTGCATATTAGGATCACGTCTCTTGAACTCTTGTCAGTTCTTGAAGATAGAATCACAGTAAAGAGTGACGGAGAGGAATTTTCTCTATTTCTCCCTCCTGGTTGGCTATTTGCATATAAACAAGCTCCTTATGCACTGAAACCAAAGTGGTGACATGAGCTCCACTGGACCACACAAATCACACTGATAAGCTTGGACATGCTGCTTATTTTATTTACTTGGGTGGTTTATGTTTTTGCAGCACATTAAATCATGAGCTCCATGTTAATTTTAGAGAAAAAATGCCATGAAATGAATAATAATTTACATGCAAACTTAAAAAATGTAAAAATCTTAAAAACGCAAACATCTATCTTGCCAAAATGTGTGAAGTTTTACTTTTTGAGTGAGGTAAACAAAACTCTACCTGCATAAGAAACAATGGAAATAAAACCCACAGATTGCTGATTGTGCGTTTGTGTGCAACTTTAGTTCTGATTGTATTTTTGTAGTGCTGACGCTGCACTTTTTGAGTGCTACCCATCGAGTGTTATAGATTCTTGCCTTCACACTAGATTTGGATCACATCAAAAATCAGAAAACTGAAGTATCTTTGCAGGTTCTTGGCAAAATCTAGTGGAGCACAGTGGACGACCAATTATATGTGATAAAAACAAATACATCAAAACTTTTCAAGCATGCCTAAACCGGACAAATTTTGAGCCCGCAGCCACATGCAAATACTTAAAACCTCCTGGAAAAAATCCTGCAACTGCCCCAAATATGTCTTAATATGCACTGACATTCACAGTGGAATCAACATATCAGCCAAAGTCTGATATATTTAATAATATTTAATATTTCAGCTTCCAAAGCTGCATTTTCTTTTGAATATTTTAGATAAACTCTACAAAGAAATTTATAGTTTTTCCCCCATCCTTTTTGCACAGAAAAAATCTCAATAAGAACAATTTGAGATTTTTCTAATTAGTACAAATTAGGGAGCATATCTAGGTAAATACTGTTTAAAGGTAAGAATATTTTTAAAAATTAGATGATTTAAATCTTGAAAATGTTTTGCTTTGGGATTTGGGGGCCATGAAGACTTACATCGTCTTGTGATCCTGGTTATTTATCTGCTGATAACATATATTGATAATTTTGTGAGCAAATATGTTTATCAGTTTTTTTTCCAAGAACTCATCAAGATTAAACGTATTGATTTCTACTTTTCAAGCCATCTCTCTGCAGCTCTTCCACGTCCAAACATGTCAATAATGTAAATGCGATGCTGCGTTTTTGCCTCCTCTCTTCTTTCTCCACAGTTTTTCTTCGTAACAAATGAAATCCTTAGACAGCGTAATCACCAAGGGCCGCCCGGGCTCTGCAACCATGGTTGCCAGGTGGTCCAACTTCCCATGGGTCCGTTCATGACGGCAAGAGAGAGAGACAGAGAGGGAGAGAAAGAGAAAGAAAGACTGGCAAAGATGGAGAAAGGGATGAAACGAGGCTTTATTGACCAAGAAAGAAGTGGATTTTCTTTTTTAGTAAACCATCCATCCATCCATCCATCCATCCATCCATCCATCCATCCATCCATCCATCCATCCATCCATCCATCCATCCATCCATCATCCATCCATCCATCCATCCATCCATCCATCCATCCATCCATCCATCCCATCATCCATCCATCCATCCATCCATCCATCCATCCATCCATCCATCCATCCATCCATCCATCCATCCATCCATCCATCCATCCATCCATCCATCCATGTTAAATTAACATTTCAGTTTGAATGATCTGAGCTGTAAAATAATGTTTTCTTTGGAAAACAAAAACCTTAACAGACATGGAATACAAACCGTGTTTTACCGGTAAAACGCTCCTTTTCTGCTTCATTTGATTCGTTGGCAGTGGATATTTTTTGCCCAGTTCGGCGCTAATGACATATAAACGCCTCACAAACTGCGATACGATCAGCCATGAAATACCAGCCTACCACTGCGCAGGTTACAGAAATAGATTGTGGCATTTAGCAGTCATGAGCAACTGTAGGTATAAAGGAATATTATCCAGTCATAAACATGTAAAGGGAGGTCAAAGGTCCTCGTTCTCGAAGTTGTTTTTCCAATTCGCCTTTTGGTTGAGATCATCCTGCAATCACTGATGATGTTACTACAGTTTCAGTATATTTTCCATGCCACTGCAAGGCTAGTGAAGTTGTTTTCTGTTCGAACCTCTAAGACATGCAGTACAAAAATCTCTTTAAGCTTTAAGATTTTTTATGAGTTCCAGTCAAACTTTTTTATTTATTTTT